CTGGGGTAGATATAGGGAATGAAGAGAGAGGCTAGAGAATGTGCAAACAAGAATGTTTATTTGTTTTTATAATTTTGATCCTGAAAGATTCTATAACTAATTGCAATTTCATGAAGATATTGGTGTATCTGCTGGAGTGAAATGAGAATTGTCTCAAACTGCTTCGGTCTATGCTCATGGTGAAGTTGGAGATGCTGTGTCAAGTACCATTGAGTAGTTGAGTGAAATCATGGCTCATTGTGAAAGCCACTGTTAATGTGCTGTTCAGGCTTTACAGATAGTCCTCAACTTAAAACCAATCATTTACTGACTGTTCAAAGTTACAATAGTGGCCCCAAAAAAGTAACATTGACAGTTTTCATACTTAATGACTGCTGAAGAATCCCCATGGTCATGCGATCAAAATTTGGACATATGGCAAATGGCATGTATTTATGGCAGTTGCAGTGTCCTGAGGTCATGTGATCACTTTTTGACAAGCAAAGTCAATGGAGAAGCCAAATTCACTTGATAACCATCTTACTAACTTAACAACTGCAGAGATTCACTCAACAACGGTGGCAAGAAAGGTTGTAAAATGGGACAAAGTTCACTTAACAACAATCTTGCTTAGCAATGGAAATTTTGGACTCAATTGTGGTCATACATCAAGGACTACCTGTACTTACACACGGGGGGAAGCTGGAATCAGGAAATGACCTGGAGTCATATTGGAAGTGAAACTAGATTTATTGGACAACTTATTGGCCTTGGGAACAGTGGATACTTTGAAGTAATCTTGGTGGCTCAACCCAGCTGATGCATCACCAAAAGATTAGAAAATTATGAAATAGCAGCAGGTAGCAACCCAATTCTTTTGGAAGTTTTCCCTCCAAGATTTTGGTCTTTCAAGACAAAGGTTAGGAAGAATGGGAAATGTTAATCTCAAAAAACTTCTTGTCTGTTTGTAAGATGATGAAGCATAGATGTCAGAAGCCCTTAAACTTCTACTGTTTGCCTGTTATAATCTTGTTTGAATGAGGCTAAAGGACTTCTAAATTTGAAAAGATTCTACAGTCAATGCTTCTTTCAAGTGTAAAGATTTCCTTGCTTGTGTGTGGTAATCATGGTCTTTGTTTGTGGGCATTTTAACATTTGTAGCTAAATTGACCTTATGGAATAATACTAAAGTCGGTCTTTACAAAGCTATATTAAGCGTACCTTGTGGTTTTTAAAGAAGCCTTTGGAAAGAAATTTGCTAAGAAGTAAAAACTCATAGTGACCTTGGAATTTGGGACATTGTAGTAGTAGGGCTTTGTACTTTTACTCAGTGTGACATATGGGTTTTGCAGCCTGGCATGGCTGATATTCTGCACGCATAAGCCAGCCACTGGAGTGGATAAATAAAAGGCATAAAGGAAAGTAACTTTTGGTCTTGAAGGGCAACTGCATTACCATGAAGGCTGATAAACTGACTGGCTGCTAGTCAGCATTGTTGTGTTGAGATGTCAGGATAGTAGTCCCATTGCTCCAACTTGCTATATAAGTGCTGAGAACTAGAGATTCCTGCTGGGAGATACGCTGCTGATCTACCATATTTTTCTGAGTATAAGACAATCAATAAGATTGATTCATATACAAAAAAGATAGTTATATAACTAATTGATTTATATAAAAATGTTGAATTTGTATTAAACAATTGTAATATTACATAATTAACCAATGTGAGGCTGGATATAAAAATAGATGACAATGGGAAGGGGTATAATGTAGAATAGAAGGGAAAAATTGAATTTGATTAAGATTAGAGATGAGAATGAAGGGTAATATTGGTTTTTTTTAAAAAAATAGATGAGGAATAAATATGGCAAAAAGGAAATATGGAAATTGTAAATTTAATTGAAATGACTAAACGCTGTTTAAATTTGTGAACCAGCCAAATACTCTGTTCAAAGAAAATACATTGTATGTTTGTACGTGTGTTTGTCTAAAAAATTTAAAAAAAAAACTTTAAAAAGAACAACCAAAAAAGGTAGGTGCGTCTTATACTCCGGTGCGTCTTATATTCCGAAAAATACAATAATCTAAAACTTGCAGACAGAAGAGAGAAGACAGAAAAGAAGGAGAAAGAGGAAAAAACAAGAGGAAAAAGTCTATGCATAGAGTGGCTTGAGTAAAAAGTTGGAGAGAAAAGTTAAATGTACAGAGCAGTTGTAGCATCCTGGCTGAAAAGAAAGAAGGAAGGTCTGGGAGAAGGGAAGGGAAGAACCAGAGGGACAAAGCTCCACTCAAAACCAGGAAAGGGGCAATGGCTTCATTCAAGACCCAAAAGGAAAAATAGATCTACTCTTGGGGGTGAAACTCTGGTCTCTAGAGAAGGGGCCAGATGGTCTCTGATAAGCCCAGAGAGAAAGGGTGATAGACTCTGGAAGGCTTAGGCGGAAACATGACACTGGAACAACACTAGTACTGTGTTATAAATAATGTAAATATTTGCTGCAAATAATGTCATTGTATACAATAAGAGTCACAAAAGCCTCCGCTGTCTTGTTTTTCTATGGCCATCTTGCAAGCAATATACCTCCACTTCAAAGAACCCCATCACACTGTGACACCCAGCAAACTATTTCTCACAATCTAATTGTTTCTGGAAGGAAGAAATACTTCTTAGGATGTTTGAAAAGGAGAAGATCAAAATACCACTGCCTATATGTGCAAAGAATCTTGCCCGCAGCCTCTAGTAAGATATTTTTATGTGGTGGAACAAAAATTGGACAGATGCCAATCAGCTACTGAGGACTCTCTCTGTTGGATCTCAGGGTATCACCAGAGATACCACTTCCATCAATGTTTATAAATACAATGAGCACAATGTTACTAATTGGAGGTGTCATCCATGAGAAGTACATGAAAGAAGTGGCAGTCATTCCTTAGGCCACATCTTTTATCAAAAAGTGTTATATCGAAATTAGCACTTGAAATTTTGTTCAGAAGGTTGTAGGAAGGACACCAGAGGATATATAGAGCTCTGTAATGAGTGAGAGACATAAATTGAAATGGAAATAAAATGAACCTTGCAAAAACAATCCTATTGTTATGCAAAAGCTCATTTAGTTTCAGTCCTAGAATAGTTGGCCTTCAGTTCCTTAGAGAAGGGTGGTTTCTAATCTCATAGCTAGAAAGAATATTCTGTTTTATATATAAAAAACCAGTATTAATAATTTGATCAATTTATTATTTGGCCAAGGACATCAAAATGGTCAGAAAATTTCCATTTCTGAAAAAGAAATATGCACTTTCAGGCATTTTTTTTTTCATCTCAGACACATTCATGCACACAGAAATACCAGTTTCTCAAACCAATTCAATATTTTCAAACCTATTCAATATTCAAATAAAAGTTTTCTCAGATAAAATGGATTAGAAAACAAGACTTAAATAATTCTTTGGAAGAATTATTGAATACCCTGGCCTCAAATATGTATTGTTTATCTTAATTAACAGGAAAAAAGAAAAAGAAAAGAAATTCCTACACTTGAACGTTAAAGTCATTTTTTGCTAGAATGAACACCTATGTAGAAAATATATCTTCCCATCTTTAGCTCATGCATATAATTTTTTAGAACAAGTAACAAACACAATTCTTGCCCTGATCTACTCCTGAGACAATGCACAGCAGAACAGGATGAGAGAAAAGAGAATCTTTCTTTATCAGGTTTTCACAGTACAATTCATCTGTTCTTTCAAATGTTTAACAAGGAGACTTTTGCTGACCTCCTTAGACAGAAAGATTGGCAGGAAAATGGTGCTAGGTGAAGATCATGATTATACTCAGCAATAAGTAAAAGATGGAAAATTGGAAAAAAATGTGTCTAAAAATTGGAAGTTTAGTTAATGTGGTTAGAGTTAGTTATAATTTTCACTTCATGTGTTTGGAAGATTTCAAAAGAAAAGCTTGATATGTAAGCCACCAAATGTCGACTCCAGGTTTTTTTCTAAAAGATAATCAGGAAGAAGTACCCATTTATCTTCATAATAATAATAATAATAATAATAATAATAATAATAATAATAACAACAACAACAACAACAATAATAATAATAATAATAACAATAACAATAATAATAATAAATAGCCTATGAAATCTCCAACTGTGGAAGACGGTGGAGGAGGAGGAGGAGGAGGAGGAAATCTTTCCAGACAGAATACTGCAAGACTGTTATTTTTCTTGTTAATTTACATATTTCATAATATATTTTGGACAGGAACAACAGCAATGGTAAGACCCAAGGGAAATATTTATTTTCCTTTCAAAGCTTCACTCTTTCAAGAACCATAAGTGCCTTGGAAAGTAAACTTCTTGCATGTTCAATATCCACAGGAACATATCAGGTTCAAAGAACTAGGGGTAAATGTTGACCCCATGACCTGGTTTGTATCCCGTTATGGTGAAAATCGAAAATATGGCTATACTGAATGATTTGGTCATTTATGCTTAATTTAGTTGTGGTTTTACTCAAGTAACCCAACTGTCCAGAGTCTGCCTTGAATTAATATTATGAGCTGCCTACATACAATGCAATGAGCTAAAAAAAAATCTAACTATGTCTGCCACCTTGTTAAGTGAATTCAGCCAGTGTATCTAAAGGTGGGAAAGGGGGAGGGGGAGCTGACATGTGAAGAAGACCAGAGTTGTTTACACTGGTTATGACAGGCATCTACAAGGCCACTTGCCCTGGCTGTATAATTCCAGCAGCCTAAATTTTTCTCTAAACATCACAGCTATTCTGGATTGGGTGGCAACAGACCGGACATTGGGAGGAGGGATGTGGAACATTGGGTTTGACTCTTTGTATCAGTGAGTGGAAACTTCAGATTCTGCCTCATCTTCCCGTAACCAACATCTTTAGTAAAAGTTCACTTCAATCAATTGGAGTCAAAGGTCTGTTTTGCTAAATGATTGTTTTGGGGAAGGTCTGACACTATGCATGTTAACCCTCACTTTCTCTTTTGTCCCCAGCAAATAATGATGTCTGAACCCATAAAGAGACCCACAAAAGAGTTAGGAAAGATGTGCTTTCCACAGAAATTACACATTGCAAAGGTAGGTGATATGTATCTAATCTAACATTGATTTTCTTCCATTTTACAGCCAGAGCGATATTCCACTTTTACAATAACCCCCTTCACACCTGGGGTGACACAGAATTTGTCAGACACATAAGTCACCAAATTGCAAGCCTACATTTGAAAAATCATAAAAGAAATGGAAGCTCCTCTCAGTCACTGTGTGTAGTTAATAAGATCGGCAACACATTTCTTACCTTCCAATGAAATCATTTGGAAGTTTTCCTTTATGTGAAAGAAGTGAGGAAAGAAATGTTTTGCCTGCACAAATAAAAGAGAGAAATTGGCACAGTATTACTTGCAGGAGCCCAACATTTCTACTGGTAGGTTAGCACCCTGCAGAGACATATTTGATAATCAGCAGTTCTCATACTAACGGCAATGCATGGAAATATGAACTTTCATAGCAAATTAAGCAATCTTTGCAGGCTTAACTTTCAACATAAAGAAAGAGAGAGTGACACAACAGTGGCAAAGGCAGAGAGCTGTATGTAAAAAAGTCAAGTGATTCTAGGCATGTGTCAGAGAAGAAGGTGGGCTATCCCATTATACACCAATTAAACCAAAAGAACAGCTTTTGATGCCTATCTATCTTGGTGTTAGGGACAGAATGGCAAGGGAGTAAGATAAATGTCATTTAAGGGTGGAGATTCAATATTTTCATTTTTTTATATTATTTTAGTGAGAATTTCTTGACACTTTTTTAAAAGCTTGTGTGAAGTCTTACATTAGGGCTTGCACTACCTCTGCCTGATTTGGCCCAAAAACTTCTAGCCAATCATTAGATGGAAGCAAAGTTAATTTTATATAGCTCTTTACTTCTAGGTAAACAGTGTCTGGATTTATTTGCAGTCCAGGTCCAATAGCATTAATTATACTATAGATTTGGAGAATCCATTTGCTTTTTAGCAATTTTTTATACTCTGAAGTTTGTCCAAAGATGGAAAAAAAGGTCAACATTTTCATATGTGGTACCGAGTTCACAGATTGCTCATTTCTGCCATGACAGTATGACTGGGTGCTTAAATATTTTCATTTTTCATATCAAATTCACTCTAGAACAATCTGCTGAAGTCTCAATTTCAGACATAAATCTCAAGGTCCTTCCCAAGAGAAAAAAAAAATATCCTGGGAAATTAGGAAAGGAGATGTACCTTCATTGGGAAAGTCTGAAGAAGCAAAATGAAGCAAAATTCATGTTCTTTTCCCTGGATGATCCCACTTAATTGTTCTAGTGACTGACATGGGACCGCTGTTGGAAGACCATAAGGTAAGCTTATAGGTAAATGGGTGGTATAACATTTTATAAATATATATAAGATAAAATAAAATAAAGCGGAACTGAGATTGGGAAAGTGCCACAGATTTCCTGGCGAAAGAACAAGATCTACTGCAATCTTCAAAAATTTCATCCATTTATCACCATATGGCAGCTGGGGGGAAAAAAATCTAATTTGAATCTTTATGTCTGACACAGAAAAGGAGAATAAGATGTTTTCCCACCTCCACTGATTTCACGAAACAAGATCCAAAGCTTGTCAGCTAAGCTGCATTTAAAGCAAAAGAACCTTGTGAATTCACATCAGTAGAAGATCTGAGAGATAGCTGCTTTCATTAAGCAGAGGCAGACATGAAAGCATCACCATTATCAGATATGAACAAAAACTAACATTGAGAGGAAATAAAACTCAAGTTTCAGCTGTCAGGTGCCTGTGTTAAAAGAAATGTGTTTGGTTGCTTTTACATTCTGAAAATCCTTACACGTTGTATACAATTGTAACAATGAAATGAATGGTCAGCCATCTGCAGAGATAAGTGATTATTTTGGAATTTTGAGACCGTATCATTCTCAAGAAATAATTGCTCAGGGTTGTTTTCTTTTCCAACACCTGTCTACCACATACAAAATAATTTTCAATATACTGGTGCTTCTAGATACACCCAGCTTATCCTCCTGAACACATGTGGGTGCTTCCCCTCAAAAAATCACTGATCCACTCTGGCCTTTGAAATATACTAATAATATACTACTAATAGTACCATTGGAGATTGGTGAGGAGGAACTAAATAGAAATATATACTTCTTTTTTTATATATGCATGTACTTTATGAACTAGAGCAAGATCAGAAGATGTGGAAAAACCTGGCCCATAGAGTCACCAAGAGTCGGACATGACTGAATGGATATCATCTTCTTCTCCTTCTCCTTCTCCTTCTCCTTCTCCTTCTCCTTCTCCTTCTTCTTCTTCTTCTTCTTCTTCATTTTCTTCTTCTTCTTCTTCTTCCTCCCCTCCCCTCCTCCTCCTCCTCCTCCTCTTCCTCCTCCTCCTCCTCCTCTTCCTCCTCCTCCTCCTCCGCCTTAATGGTCTCTCTTGGCAGAATGGCAAAGTACTTTTGTCCTCCTTGTCTTTAGTATAATCCAATAGATGAGATAAAGACCATTGCAAAACAGGTGCACTTAATTAGGATTCTGAGCCTATCTAAGTTAGTTATCACTATGGAATAAAACCAAGATGCAGAAATGATCAGGAGTGTGTTATATGCTGACTTTGAAAGAATCTATTCATTATCATCATTTCTGACATTCCTTTTGGCTTCCTTCCTTCCTCCCTGCCTTCCCTCCCTCCTTCTTTCTTGAATTCCTGGATATTTTTCTCTTATGTTTGACTTCTGTCATGGTTTATATTATATTCTTCAGTATTCCTTATTTGTTTGTTTATCTATTTGATTTAAATAACTGCCTATTTCAGCATTCTTTGACTGATGCCTCGTGTCATTGAATTATTTTCTTGTACTGCATTGAAATAAGGTCTGAAATATTCATATTGATATGACCATTGCTTAATAATAATAATAATAATAATAATAATAATAATAGTAGTAATAATAATAATAATAATAATAATAATAATAATAATAATAAACTTGTAGAACCCTGGTTCTTCTTGCCCTACCTGGCAAGGTACAGCACAATACACAAAATTATGTTTATAAATGCTGCAGTGGCTGCTTCCAAACATAGTGTCTTTGCACTCTCTTTTGATTCTATTTGTGGAATAAAGAAAAATATTATTACTTGAAATAATGTGACTGCTGTGTTATATGGTTACCCAACTCTAGTAATGTCTGTTCCCTTCCATTTAGATTATTATAGTTGGCTACAAGGCTTCATGGTGTTCTTAAAATACCATATCTACTTACAGGAAGAGTAAATCTGCTCAGTCCTAGGTTGGAAAAAAATGATCTATGTATCATATCTATAGATAAATTTCTGTTTCAACTACCCACACCTGAAGAAATCTTAAGGCATTTCTGGTTCATTTGCTTTGTATCAAGCCAAGGAATATTATCGTTTGGCCAAATTCAACCCTATTCTTAGGTTGGAGAGAAATATATTGTACTTGTTCTGCCAAGAAACTGTTATGGATTAGAAACTGCTCAGGAAAAATGGAGAATTACAACCTTCACTCATTACCATTGATATGGTCAAATTTACAAACATTTGTTTTCTATGTACTTTTACATATATGCAAGGCGTGTTTGTGTTTTGGGTGTGTGCCTGTCTATCAATACAAAAAAATTCAATCTTTATTTTTAAAGTATTCTAAAAATCTTTTTCAGTGGCACAATTATTTTATATGACCATGGAAACTTTACTGCTTTCTGATGTCCTTATTTTAATTTCAACACAGTATTAACCTCATATAGCAAAATAAACTCCTAATTACAATTCATTTGAGGATATAATTTCTATGAGTGAATTGGAAGTAAGCAATTTCTCCCAGAAGTAAGGCATACTCCAAGAGGTTTAATACTTTTTCCAGACATGGTATCACAGCCAAGGACTGTGTAAAAGTTGAGAGAAATCCAATACAGCATTTCCAAATTAACAAGAATCTTCTGCAACAGTAACAGAGATTAATAAACCATTTAATTCAATTGCTACAGAAAAAATTCTCAATTGTGCAGATCAAAATACGTCCTATTCCACTTTAGTCACATAAAAAACAGAAATTGGATTTCAGTAAAGTGTGTAAAAATAATCAAATTCTCAGAGTTATTATCCTTAAGATTTAAGGGCCAACATCCTCCAAAGTCAGTTGACAGAACTGATGTTATTATTGCTAATTACAAAGTTCTTAGCTAAGCAGCATGATTGTTTTTTACCTTTAGTCTATTTCAATTTTTAAACAGCCAAAGATAACTCTACAATTAAGCATTGGAACAGATTAATATCATCCATCCTATGAAATTTCACAAATAAAAATATCAAAATTGTCACATTTTCCATTTAATGTAGCAAAGCTTCTCAATTTTTTTTAAAAAAAAACATGCGTAATTTATATTGTCCCACCAAAAAAAGTTAAGTAAGGAATCTCTTTGACCACAAGTAATATTATAGTTGTGTTCGAATCATTTTGGGTGAAAAAAATCATATATAGAAGGATGTAATTACCTAGTTAATATATCATGTTAAACAGTGGTTTATTGACTAAACCCATAGTAAACTGGTTTAGCTCAACAGACAGAAGCACTGTAATTTAACACCAGCTGTCTGCAATTAAAGTAAGATCGAATCTCGCCAGGCTCAAGGTTTACTCAGCCTTCCATCCTTTCTAAGGTAGGTAAATTGAGGACCCAGTTTGTGGGGGCAATAAGCCGACTTTGTATAAATATACAAAAGTATGAAGGCTATTGCTTAACGCACTGTAAGCCGCCCTGAGTCTCCGGAGAAGGGCGGCATATAAATCAAATTTAAAAAAAAAAACAAAAAACTAAAAGCAAATCAATTACATAGCTTTGTGCATTGCTTACTACTATCATACACAGGAAAGCAAGTGTCTAGCCCCTTTAGTAATAAATTTGTGGCTACATGTATTAAATAGAATGCAACTTGAAGTACAAAAGTTTGAAGAAAGAAAGGAAGGAAGGATGGAAGGAACTTTGTTTTCTCTCTTTCCCAAACCCATTCTTCCTTTAAGCAGAATCATTAAATATTTTGTTTTTACTCCCTCTTGCTTCCATCATTAATACTTTTTATCCTTTCAAGCACATCTATTTTACCTCCATTATTCTTTTTACATTCTTCAGTTCCTGATAAAAAACTCAATTGAAAATATAAATTCTAAGAAAATCTCTTCCTCAGAAAGTGTGTGAAGCCTATTCTTATAAGAAGTGTTTGAACTAAGGTTTAAGGTGATTGTTAGGTTCCACTACCCTGTGATTTCTGAATTTCAATTGGAAATAAACATAACAGTCTTTCTACAACTTGCTGCATCAGTTAGAAAATAAACCTAAAGTACTTCAAAGTCAAACTTGTATGAAGGAGGAACACACAGTTAGACAGTCACAATTAAATTTAGAATCAAAATATGAGAACTCAAATGTAAAAAACAGCTGTTCTAACAGATGAATGGGATAACTTTCCAAACAATTACCGAAAGAAAATATCCAGTCAGAGTGCTTTGCCATTTGAAGATGCACCACAAGACAAGTCATTGTGAGATAAAGTTCCCATTTCTTCCAGTTAAACAGGAAGCTCTTCTCCAATGAAATTTGGTATTATTTTGTAATTATTGTTCTGCTATTTTTTTCTAGTGTACCTGAGAAGCTCATATACTGATAGATGCAGTATACTAGTGATAAACTATTTAGATTTTTTTGTAAACTATGTCCTTCTTGAAATATATACCATTTCATAACATTTGTATAAGGGGAAAATGTGCATTTTATGATTAAAGGAAGAGATAGAGATCCACTCAATCCCAATTTATTGAGAATTAGAAGGTAATAGGAAAATGGGTAATTCTCTTCTGAAAATGCTTTGGCTCAGATCAACTTGAAATCCCCAAGGAAATAGGTCCTATTTACTGTATTCTAAGAATTTTTACGAATCTTGCCAAGCAATGAGACCAACTATATCTTTAGATCTTCAAATGAAGACTCGATTCATGACACTGCAGTGAGTAAAATAAATCTGCTGCACACTTTTAAGCACATATTCCTCAGTTGTGAAGGGCAAGCAATTTCAGGAACTCTGACACTTAAGTAATTCAGTTTCCTGAGAATAAGAATATTGAAGAGTTAAGACATTTCTGTAATATAATGTTAGTTACAGTCCATAAATATTTAGGTCTGGGCAAGAGTTAGTAGTTGCATTACTATCCAAATAAATTATTCTCCCCTATCAAACTTCCTGTGCGTGTGTGTGTGTGTGTAAGGTGTGAAAGTTTCACCGGTGTGTCCACTAAATATATATATTTTAAGGAATTTATTGCTTCCATGTATCTATGTCCTGACTGCTTTCATCTTGGGATATGATCTTCTTCCTTTTTACTGATTATGTGCATTTGCCTCTTTTTAATTATTGATTGACTGATTGCTAACTTGGAACTTATGCAGATGAGAAAGTAGGATAACCCATTTTCATAAATCAATATTTTCCTGTATTGTCAAAGAGAGTCATGAAAATGATGATGACTCACTCCTAGCATAGTGCTTATCAAGTTTCATTGTCACAGACACCCACCATTTATCTACAAGCAAGTTAACCTCATCCCCTCGAACATTGTCTCATCAGAATTCACACTCAT